GCGGGCGGCGGGCAGGGAGGGGGTCCGCGCCGGGCAGGCGGCCGGCTGGGGGGGGGGGACACGGCGTGGCGGGGCGCATGTGGTGGGGCCGCTCAAGGTGGCTTCTCCTCGGGATAGGGGCTTCGGCCGCGCGCTGGCGTCTCGCACCCCCTTCACATGTGACTCCCCGCCTTCCCTCTGCACATTCCTGCTACATACGTCCGTGCACGCGTGCTCTTTTCCCCCATCAAACCCGCACTGCCAGATCGACCCGGAGTCCGAGGGCGCCAACACGCAGCGCGCGCTGGCTATTGGGCTTCCGGTGATGGTGGGGTACTTCTCCCTGTGCGTGCCGTCGGGCCTGAGCCTGTACTACTTTGCCAACACAGTGTTTACGGGGCTCATGCAGGTGGGGGAGCGCGCGGATGGTGTGTGTTTGTGCGTCATTATATGCACGCAGACGGTATGTGTGCGCGTGTGTATGTGCATGTGCTAGTGTGTGTGTGTGTGTGTGTGTGTGTGTGTGTGTGTGTGTGTGTGTGTGTGTGTGTGTACGCGTGACAGTGCGTGCGCATGTGTGTGTTTGTGCATGCGTGCGTGCGGTCATGCGTGTGTGTGCGCGCGCGCGCACCCCGCTCGACCCCCCGCACGCCCGCGGTCGCGGCCCTCAATCGCGTGCCCTTTCAGCTTCCCATCCTCCCCCCCTTGCGCCCCCAGGTGTACCTGCGGAAGCTGGGTGGCGCCACAGTGAAGGTGAAGGACCTCGGGCCGGTGACCAAGGTCGGCTCCGCGCGCCGCCTGGGCCCCGTGGCTGCAGACGACGACGTCTGGGAGTACCAGCCGCCCGCGGCGCCTGATGCGGCCGCAGCGGCGGCGGCGGCGGGCGCTGCGGACGGGGCCGGGGCCGGGGCGGAGGGGGAGGCGGCGGCGGCGAGGGGGCAGGTGTTCTACGCGCGGCGGAAGCGGGCGGCGGCGGCGGCGGCGGCCGCGGGCGGCAGTCAAGGGAGCGGCTCGGCGCCGAGCACGGCCACAGCTTGATGCGGCGGCCGCTGCCCGTCCTGTACTTGTGCTGCTGGATCTGTTTGTTTGTAACAGAATGAAAGTCTGACTTAGGCTCTCTTGCTGCGCTTGTGTTGACCAGGCTCGCTATGCAGGCGTGTCGGCCGCATCCTGGAGGGATCAGTTGAATGCTGTCCTGATTTGATCTTTGGCCGCGAAGCGTGCCAGCATCAAAGGGGCCTTCAACAGGGTGGGGGCGGAGATATTACAGGAATGATCTAGGCGCGGCTTGCACAGCAGTACAGAGCAGGTTCCGATGCTTTGCCGGTGGAGCCAGGAATGGATGGTGAGGGGCGTGCCGGCGCGCCCAGCAAGCGTCGTTGTTCAGCGGTCGCTTCAGTGACTGTGGGTTGGTGGGGATGGCAGAACGCCTTGCGCGAGACAACCTCGGATTTTGGGGCATCCAAGTTTGTGTGTCAAAGGCGCGCCCCGCTGCACAGCTGTTGAACGCTCTATTGGATGCAGACGCATGCACGTGCAAGGTCAGCCGGACTGAGAGGGTGGATGCGCACGTGTTTGGGTGATGGTAATCATTCAGAACGATTGTGAATGATCCCAACACCGAACTCATCAACAAAGGCGGAGGTTGCTGGCCCGCCGAGGGACGCGCACAGCAAGATGGACACGCACAACCTGCAGTGGGATCTCTTTGCGGGGGCAAGAGGGTGACTTGGAGGGTGCATTCCCCTCCCTTCACCCTCTGACAGTGGTTTCACAACAGATACACGCCCTTGCCTGCTTGCCGCCCTCATGTGTGCATGCAAAAGCAGGGGCAGCCAGGGCCGAGGCAGGGGCGGCCGGGGACGGCCCTCGCTGCCGCTGCCGCTGCCGCCGCCGCGGGGCGCTGCAGAGGCGCACGCTGCGTGGGCGCGGCGCATGTACGGCCTCTCCCTCCCAGACAAAAACCCGCGGTACGCCGCTGCAAAACGGGGTGCTCGTGCACTCGTCGGAGCTGCTGCCCTCAGCACCACATCAAAGGAACCAAATTTGCCCAGGCCGTGCAATTGAGGGCGGAGCAGGGTGGCGCATCCGATGACCTTGAGTGCAGGTTAGGCAGCTTGTAGGTGCAGTCGGGGCCACGCCGCAAACACTCAGGTTGGTGATGAGCGCAGGACAGACATGGGTGCATGTATATGTGGACCACGCGCACGAGATTCGCTCGCCAGCGGCGGGCGGCGTTGCGCACGCCCCACGCTGTGTCTGTGCGCATGCACGAATGCGCGCGTGAAATGCGCATCCTCAAAAACCAGCAAACGCGCACGCGCACGTGTGCGGGACACACCACGGCGGAAGCAACACCACCGGCGGTGCTAACCTGTGCCGTGTGCAGCAGATCAGAACAACGCGCAATCAGATCGCGCCTTTTGCGCCATCTGCCGCCGATGCAACGCCGCCGCCGCTGCCGCTGGTGCGCCCCCAGCCCCCCTCTGTGGCTTCGGCGCTGTTGATCGCGATCTGGGGGTGGTGATCTAGCTCTGTCGTTTTGAAAAAGCTGGTGGCCCGGCGCTCCTGGAAATAGGGGCGCGCCACCATGAAGACCAGACCTCCCAGCACTGCCGCCGCCACGAAAGCCCCCACCACAATGCCCGCGATCGCCGCCGGCTTGAGCCCGCCGCCGCCGCCGCCATCGCCGCCTCCACCACCGCCGCCGCTGCCGCTCGGCGCGGCCATGCC